AAGTCTGAAACTATATCGCTCCCCCCTCACCTTTATGGTCCAAGAAACTAGGGGGGGTCCCTTCTGTTTGCTTTGTCCCTATTCCTTCTGTGGGCTCAGCGGCCTCTTATCTGACTGTGGTCTAATCTACGGCTCCCCCTCCTGTCTCCAGGGTCATTCCCACAGACCATTACAGACTCATACCATAGCTATTCTGGAGGACTGCTGGCAGCCTCAGCCTCATGTGCTTAATTGCTCTAATTCCTGACATTAACCTAGAATAGGCTCCTCCGACCCTGACTCCTTCAACTTGGAGATGACCATAACACCACCAAGGTGGAACAGCCCCCTCATCGCAAGAGCAGGCAGATTATTTGGGAGGGACGCTGTCCTGAATTTCCAAGGCCAGGGAACAACTGTGCAGGTGGATCACTCTTTGCAGCTGGTTTTGTCCAGCATGAGGATGCTAATCTCTACTTCCCCCTTTTGAGCCCTAGATCTGAAGGTCCAGTGACAATGCTGGAATCAAGGTCAGGGAGCAGAGAATGATAGTGGACATCAAAAGGGAATCACATCTTCCTGTTAAGCTTCCTAATCTGCAGTAAAAAGTCTTATCTAGCCATGCTGCATATCTGAGAGGCTGGTATGAGCCAGGAGCCAGCCAAGCCATGCCAGGTTGAGGATCCAGGAAATTCTGCTGAGGCTCGTCAGTGTGCCTGTCAGCTCCCGATGGCAGCCTCAGGGCACCATTAGTCTCTTTGAGACAAAGTGGCCTTTTTTCTTAAAACAACAACAGAAGCGAGGAAGAAATAACTTTAGGAAGTGGAAAACAGGAGGAAATATGTATACCTCAGGTTATTCCTACCCAGCAGGTTTCTGATAATATAACTGCTGTGGTGGTCGAAAAGGAGCAAGGATGGAACTGCACTTCTAGGCATGTGCAGATGGCCTGCAAAATGGCAACAGAATATTCCAGAAGCTGGCTTCTGGGCTGAGCTCCAGGACAGGCCATCTCAGGAATAGTCTGGGGGAATCCCTGTTGTAGCCTCTGAAAGGGTTGGGGTTCCTACCGGCTGAGGAATGCAAGAGTCTTCGGTCACGGCACACCTCTGAGTTTTTCCAGTTCACCCAAGGGGAGGGGTCAACCATCCCACACGGAAGTGCCCCGAGACAAGTACAGGCTTTTCTATTTTTCAAAAAGAAGTAAGAGTTCAGCACTTGGATCTAGTAGCAAAAGGATTGGCAGTTAAATGGTGTGGAAATCAGAAGGAGAAAATCAGTAGACAGAAAACCACCACTGGGTGCCTAGGAACAGGGGAAAAAAAGGCTAGAAAAGCGCCAACTGAAATAAAGGAAGGGAGGCGAAAGAATCTTTCTGCTGGGGGAAATATTGGCAATTAAACAGAATGTGAAGCCAGTATGTGAGTTGCTAGGAGCTCAGACCCCTGTTCCCTACATCATTTCGGCACCTTGCCAGAAAAGAGAGCAGCAACAGCTGCCAGGTGGTGTAAGGAACACAATTCAAAGCAGGCTTTGATCCTTTATCTTAAACAAAAGTAAATTCTCTCTCTAGGACAGCAAAGCACCCAGCTGTCATGCAGCTCCTTTGGTTGCCGAATGACTTTATTTTTTATGCATTTACCTTATTTCTATTCCACCCAATCCCGAAGGACAATCGTGATGATAATAGTAGCAAAGCCTCAATTCTTCTCTGTGTCTGCAGACTATTGACCAGCAATCCACTTTAGAGTGACCCATCCCCTTCTAGATTCTTAGGCACTGGAGGATTCTTCTGATGGTTTGTGAGCAGTTGGCTAAGCAGTTTGAAGACCAAATCACTCATATTCCTTCTGAGTTGGACACTGAATGGGCAGAGTTCCATGAGATAACAAGAGGCAGCAAACTGCAAGACCATCTGGGATTCTTTTGAGTTTGTAACATCTGAGAGAGTTGGCAAGGTCCTCTGTGGGATGAGCTGAACTACCTGCAAGTTAGATGCCAGTCCCTCCTAGCTAATAAGAACTGCTAGAGGACATGATGGCATTGAGATGGTCAACACAGCATTCAGGAAGTGGGTAACACTTCCAACCTTAAAAAGGTGATGGTGTGTCCCATTCTTAAAAAAAGATTCCTGGTCTCCAACCTACCATTTTTTGGGAAGGTTTTACAGAAGGTAGCTGGTTTCACTTAGGGCGAGCCTTAGATGAGATGGATAATGTGGATCCTTTCCAATCAGGCTTTAGGCCTGGGCATGAGGCAGAGATTGCATTCGCTGCTCTTATAGATGGCCTGAGCTGGAATGTGGACAGAGGTGATGTGCACCTTCATGTCCTGCTAAATCGCTCAGCAGTATTTGGTAGCATCACCCATGGTAGCCTTTTGAGCCACCTGCAGGGTTTGGGGACTGGGGGCATAGTTTGCATGGTTCCATTCCTTCCTGAGTAGGCAGCGTCAACTGATTCTGTTGGGAGAGGAGAGTTCAAGCCCTTGGGCACTTCAGTGTGGGGTGGACCAGGCTCAGTCCTATTTCTCAGCCCACAGGGATAGGTCATCCATTGGTTCATGGTTAGGTGTCACCAGTATGCTGATAATACCCAGATTTATATCTCAACTTTGTGCCAAACATGAGATGTGTGGAAGTCTGACTTGGTCCCCGGAGACCGTGAGGGACTCAGTAAGGTGAAATAGACTGCAACTGAATCCTGCCAAGATGGTGTTGATGGTTTAGAAACCTTTTGGTATTGATGTTCCATCTATAATTCTTCAAAGATTTCCCTTGAAGGAAAAGGTGCAAATCTGGGGGCTTTCTAAGAGTCATGACTCCTGCTGGAAGAACAGGTGGGAGCTATGGCCAGAAGACCTTTAGGTTAGTTTTAGCCAGTCCACCAGCTGCATCCGTTCCTGGACCAGGAGGCACTGAAGACAGTAACTCCCATCCTTATCTTATCTAAGCTCAACTACTGCAATCCCCTTTATGTGAGGGTCCCCTTGAAGGTAACTCAGAAGCTACAGCTGGCAGAAACACAGCACCTTCTTTGCTAAACAGCATCAACCTGTTTAGCAGAGCCATACCTATTCTTTGGAGTTTTGCTGGTTACCAGCAGGGTTCCAGGCCCAATTCAAGATACAGGTGATCACACCTCAAGCTCTTTGCACCTTCAGCCCTTGTTGCCTTTGGAACCATTTTCCTCCTACAGAATTTGCCTGATCTGTGTGATCTAATGGGGAGAGGATGCTCTAGGCACTGGTCCTCAAAGAAGCTGGGGGAGGCTGGGACCTGAAGACTGACCTTCTCAGATGTAGGCCCCTCCCTCTGGAACAGCTTGCCCCCGAAGGCTAAGCGTAACCCTACCAAGATTTGGAAGATGGCGCAAACAATCCTCTTTAATAGAGCTTCTGGACTCATTTGATGGCAGCTGTCAGTTTACTCACAATTTTTAATAGTTTTGTTTATTTTTTTATTGGTTTTATGGATGTATTTTATGATTTAAGCCACCTAGAATAAGATAAGTTTAAGCTGCCTAGAATAGGATAGATGGCATACAAATTTTGGTGAATAAATAAATATTTCCTATCTATATTACAATTTACAGTTACAGCTGTTCTTTTCCTTCATGCTGCCCCATCAATCCTTCCGCTACCTCCTTTCCATGGTCACTGCTTTGATCCAGGAAACCACTGGCCATCCTTTGCTGGGCAACTGCAAACAGTCCAGCTTCCATCCATTGATACGGACTCTAAATATTATAACTAATTAATTAAAATATTTGTTCTACTTCAGAGAATCACATTTTTGTCTTTTAAAATAAACTAGATTGAGGGGGGAGGAAGAAATCCTTGTTTAACTTCCTAATCTTTTGCACATGTAAAAGTCAAGGAAAATTTTACAAACAATGTTTTGGCCAAGAAATAACTAGTGCCTCTTAAGTTCTCTAGCCCCACTGCACTCTCTACAATCAAAGGAGCCCAGACCAAAGTTCAAGAGATTCACATAATGTAGCAAAATCCAGATGTTGAGAGCATTTCTGGGTATGGAAAAAACCAGCTACGGCTCAGTAGCCTGGAAAAATCCCAGGATGAATCGTTTCCCAGAAGTGGCTGCCAAGTACAGCAAGTCCAAAATCAGCAAATGGGGGTTCTGAGGGAGAAGATTGGCTGAAGTTAGGAGAACCAACATCCCCACAACAGATGACATGGAAAGACTTCAACTATGAACAAGTATTAAAAAAATACGGTAACTCACTTGGTGACAACACCAATCTTTACTCCAAATACTCCCGTTTGTTTTCGAGAAGGCATCCTCTTTAGACTGAACTCTCTGCTTGTGAACTTCACGGAGAGCTTCACTTCGACCTTGGAAAGAGAGAACGTCTCAGTTCCTTGTTCCAGGTAATGCTGGATTCCCCCCGACCACAGAGGGCCAGCAACAGAGTGGAGCCTGGAAGCAAGTAGCCTGGGGACAGGCCCCAGTGCCTGGGCCAAGGAGGGCTGCTCCGGCATTTCTTACCCACTAACTGTATGTCAAAAGGGAGCAGAAACAGCAAAGCTACAAGAGAAAGAAGCATCTAAGAACAGAAAACCTATTGTCAACTGAGAAAGCTTCTTCTTAATTAAAATATGCATTAGGCCAGCAGATATTTTTCTGGAGTTCACATAGTGCATAGCAGTATTTCCTAAAAGGTCACTTTCCACGTGCCTTGTGTAACGGCCTTTCTGATTGTGATTTTACCTCTCATTGGTCATGCTTTGTTTTCGTTTTACTTTAGTATACTTTATCATGCATTGTTTCTTCACAGGCATAAGCTGCTACAGTATGTAAATACAAGAACGCTTCCTTGTAGAGTGGTTGTAACAGAACTGATTGACCAGAGACGTCTCCCAGTTATGGATAATTAACGTAAAGTGTAGTAAGTCAGATGGGCGATTGCTCTTTTCAGCGAACAGACGATGGGCCTGGTGCTGGCAAGGAGCATCGTAACACACGTGTGCAGATGTTATCATATGACCAGGAAGTGGGGAGGGCTGGAAATGAGGCATGTACACCCCCAGAAGGCGAGTCTGTAGTCCTGAACGGTCTGCCTTACCCCATTCATCAGGATGACGGTGCGTTGCCAGTCTTTATCTTGCAAGGCTTGTGGATCCAGCTGAAAAACACATTTAGCCAGGTATTAAATGGCGACATCAACATGGCGAGCAAATCACAGACTTTGCCATTTTGTATCTGCCAAACCAAGATCACCTGAAAAAGAACTGTACCGGGTTTTCTTATAAAGTCCATGGCTCTTCACAGCGTACAACAAAACAGAAAACACTCATTTTTTATGCTTCGGCTTATTGCCCCCACCCGGGAAAAGGCTAGGACATTTTTGGCAGGCAAAGAACTATGCTGAATACCAAACACGGGCCCATCTCCTTTTCTCCTGCTTTTGCCACGGGGGCCGCACAGAATTTCTGGCAGATGCTTCCCAGCTGAGTCTGCGGGGACAGCTGCAGGAAAAACACCCGGACCGAGGGGCCCGCGTCTCTTCTTGTGCTACCGTGCTGGTTCTCGTTCACCTGCGGCAGTCCCCCTTTTAACAAGGACCTGCTGCTGCTGCTGCTGCTGCTGCTGCTGCTGCTGCTGCTGCTGCTACTCGGGAGGCCGAAGCCTGAAGGGCTGCTGTTCCTGGGGCTGGGGAAGGGCAACGAGCTTCTTCCTGTCTCAGAACTGAGAGGGAGCTGCTTGTCTGGCGTCTGGTTTCCGCTGGTGAACTGGGAGCTCCACTGTATTTCTATCAGAGCTCGCGCGAAACCTTCCACGAAGGCTCTGCGTCAGATGAACCTGAGCGCGTCCAGTGAGAGCAAGTTCGCCTGCCGCAGAATAACGGAAGAATCTGCATACAGCGTTAAACCAAGGTTTAGAAGAGCTGCATCTTTTTTTGAAGATTTTTCATCCTGCCTTTCTTATTTGTATAAATAACTCAAGGTGACGAACAGACCTAATACTCCATCCTCCCCCTCCTTTCCCCACAACAACCCTGTGAGGTGGGCTGGGCTGAGAGAGAGAGGGACTGGCCCAAAGTTGCCCGGCCGGCTTTCCCGCCTAAGGCGGAACCCGAACTCGCCGTCTCCTGCTTTCGAGCCTGGGGCCTTCTCCGCTAGACCAAGCTGGCTCGCGGTTTGCAGCTGCGGGCTCACACACCTTCTTTTATATGGGAAACAGATGTTCCTTAGCATTATTTTCAAAATCAGAACTGTGATTAAACTTACTACAGGCTGCTAAAAAAAGTGAACTGTATCCGCTACACTTTGACACTGTCCTGTCTGTACCACAGTGACGACTGAGTGCGGGTTGTGGGCTCGGGCTACGTGGAAGTGGGAACTTCCCAGCCCTGCCGTACTTGAAAAGAAAGAAAGAGGACACGGAGCCCCCCCCCGCTTTTGCCACAGCTTGTCCTTGTGATTCCAACCTTTTTCCCGCCTGAGACCGGCACTGTTACGCATGGTCAAACGGCCGAGACAACGACGGCTCTTTTAGGTCAGTGGGGCGCTGGCCCAAGACACCGTTTCATGACTCAGCCGAGAGGCAACGAGCGCCACCTTCGTATCCTGGCCAAGCAGGTTTTCACGGCAAAATGAGCGTTTAACTAGTAACGGTTCAGCTCTGCCGTTACTAATTGGTAATTAGCTTGATCCGGGGGTTCTCCCAGCAAGAGTCAGAAAAAGGTAACCTCTTTCTCACCTGAGGTGTGCATCGTTACTGTATCTCATCAACAATTTAAAGTCATCCATTTACATTTTACCAAGAGCAATATTATTTTATTCCTGAGAAAACGTTTGCAGAAGAAAAGGGGCACCTTCCTAACTAAAGGCTGGTGGCTGTTCTTGTCTCACATCTAAGCACCTTCTCCTTTAACCATCACAGTATTTTATTTATTCTTGATTGGTGGGGAAAAATCAAAGGCCTGTTAGTGTTTGGAGAAGGGCCGGTCTCTCTCCTTCCAGAGCAGAGTCGGTTTGGGCACGGCCCCTTCGGGCTCCCGAGGGGCCGCTTGGGCATCAGGGCGAGGGAAGGCATCCTGGCTCGAAGGCCGTCGAGCCGGAGGAAACGACACAGCGCCACTGAACAGGAACAGGCCACCTTCCCAGCTCAGAGCCGCGTCTGCCCTGAGCCACTGGGCCCCAATTCCAAGAACGGAAGGGAAGAGTAGGAAAGAAGCGGAAGGGCCAGAGAAACTAATAACCTTAACTCAGTCTGAAGTAGGCTTTAGTTAAATTAAACTAAAATGAATGCTAGAAATACCATCACTACCAATGCACTTAATGCTGTTAGCCTCAGGTCACCCTAACAATTCCCGGTCGAGTGTCAACCAAGGTATCTGGGAAAGGCAATACATGCCGGACATCAGCAGAACTGAAGAACCTAACAATCTGCGCCTCAAATTACCTGGCAGCCCCAGGTAATCTTGCCTACAGCTGATACGTAGTGTATTGGGGATGGGGGGGGACAAAGGGCAACCATCGACAACTAGTGTGGTACAGCATTACTATGCTGGACGGGGCCCAAGAGAGCAGGTTCTAGTTCTCCTTAAGACATGGAAGCTCCCTAGGGGACTTGGGGCTGGTCCCTCCCGCTCAGCCCAAGAGCTGGGGTGATCCAGTGGTGAATCTGCTGGACCCAAGAGTGGGGAGACCCAGGTTCTAGCCCCCCCACTCAGCCTTGCAAGTCCTTGAGGGACCTTGAGCCAGTAGGGTGGGGTAGTGGGGAAAGTGCGGGACTCGGAGTAGGAAGAGCCAGTCCTGGTCCCCCCCAGCCACAGAAGCTCCTTGGGGACTCTAGGCCAGTCCCCCCTTTCAGCCCAAGAGCCAGTAGGCAGAGAGACCGGCAGGCATGTGGCCCCCTGGAGCTTCCAAACGAAAGGAGTGAAAGGTGGCGATAAACAAACTGGTCCGTAGGACCCACTTTTCAGAGAGCCCGGATGCCATGATAATTAGGGACTGGGGGCCCTTCTCTGTCAATTGTAGATCAGCTGCTCCCTGCATGTCCATGGTGTGATGGGGTTTCCTGCTGCAGCTTTGCAGACTTCCTGCTGGAGTCCCCAAGGAGGCAGTTTCCCAGGCACAAACCAGGATGAAACTTTCAGTGGTGGGAATCAAAAACTGTACTCCAGTTCTGCCCCGCAATGCATCAAATGCCATACACACATACTGAATGTCAGTGAAGTACTCCTGTTTTGGGTATGGACGGGAAAGTGTCTGAACCTCTGCCCACACACTTGCAAATCCTGCTACGGAACCATCTGCTCTGGCCATAAAAGGTTGCGCAAAGAAAAAAGCACCTTTTTCTCCCAAGAAAGAGGGATCAGATGATGAAACGAGAAATGCCAAGTTTGCCCCTTGCAAACAGCTGAGCTTCTGCACAAAGCAGAAAGGGAGGAACGCCAACCTCTCTTCCTGGCGGTGCAATTTGCGAATCCCAGATGGGAGAAAATGAGGCCACCGATCACAAAACATGCAACTCCCAAGAATGAGCAAGACGCAGCCAGAAAGGGAGACGCTATCAGAGCAACTTCCTTGTGGCAGGAGGAGAGAAACTGGACAATTCCACCTGCCCAGCTTTTGCCAAAGCAATCCGCCCAGCTGCTCCCGAGGGCGGGAAAGGGAGCCAACGCCCTGCTGTGCTTTCTCCCAGGAAGGAAACCCTACAGACCAGCAGAATCTGCCCAGCCGAGATGGAAAGTGGTGTAAGAATAAATAATATATAAATAAATAATAAAACAATCCCTGGGCCCCACCAGCTAATCTGATAACGTACTGCCTGCACTACAGGAGAGGGGGGCCATGCGCTGCCGAAAAATCCCTCTGGGCCAGGGGCAAAGGGGGCCAGCAACATCCGGAGCGCCACAACAGGCAGGACCTCAGAGCCCACCTAGTCTCTGGGGAAACCTTGCAGCAGCGGGCAAAGCGTCTCGTTCCCTTCAGCCTCACCCGCTGCAGTGGCACAGCCAGATAACAGCTCAAAGAGGGTCCCACATCCCACCCTTGGAGAAGCTGGCAAGGCTGCATTGGCTAGGCCACCTGCCCATCCTGAAGGGGCGGGAGACGCCCTGGGGCATCCCAGCGCAAAGACCGGTCAAGGCCAGCTGAGCTGTTTGTGGAGGTCTGGGGCTTCGGCAGCGCGGCCTCCCTCCCCTGCCCCAGACTCCCTGGCCTTTTCCCCTTCGTCCACTTTCCTCTTTCTCCCTTCCTTGGTCCTGCTCCCCCCCACCCCCCGGAGGACACAGCTCAGGGTTAGGCCTTCCCCGTCCACTAGAGCAGGTCCTCGAACCCAGCCAGTTTTCTACTGCTAGAGCTTGTCTCTGATGGGGGGCTTGGAGAATTTAACAGATTTTTAACAAACAGGTTCTGCAACCTGAAGGAGTTAGAAAAACCCTGCCATAGAGCCCCCTCCCTCTGATTACCCTTCACAATGCTCTTAAAGCGTAACATCCTGACCATAAGCAATAGCCCCCCCAGGAAGCTTTTAGGTTGGCAAATTGCCATGTCGTGTGTGCGCAAGAGGGAGAGTGCCACCATGTCTGAGGAGGAAAGCCTTAATGCCTCTCTCTACCTACCCCAACATACTGAGGGAAATGGAAAAGTGAGGTTTTCCAGGGATTTCGGGGGAAGGCCAGTTGATAGGGACCATGCTGGGCAGTGGCTCCCCTTCCAGGTTCCCACCCAGAGGCTCCAGGACCGCACGCATGCCCCAAAACTTCCCCCTCAATGTGCGCATGCCATCATTTTCAATCTGAGGCGGTGGATGTGAAATACACAATTGCAGCGTAATCCTCCTGAGTATTTGCCACCTCATTTCCTGTTAAATGGAAGTTAAAGTTACCCATCCCTCACTGGGAGGGTGAGCAGTGGTGTGCAGCTCCCAGGCCACCCGGACCCTGCCCCAACTTGCCAACAGAAAGGACTGGCAGCAGCTACCCACCTGGATCTGGCCTTTGCCCATAATGCGGTCCATGGTCTCTCCGTCCTCTTTGGTGAGCTTGGTTTTGTGGTAGCATTTCTCGTAGCACAGGATCCGCAGGGTCTGGGAGCCCTCCAGTTCTATCTCAAACTCCTGCAGGAAAGAAGAGCTCAGAGCTACGGGGCAACGGGAGCAGGCAGAGGGGCTCTGCTGGGCAAAGCTCGGCCTCGCCACGCTCTCCCTGAAGACGGGCGGACTGGAAGGCTTCGTCCCTGCCAAAGGGGAGACCTTCCCTGGCTTCCGACATTCAGGGGCTACAGCCCTCACAGCGCTTGCCAGAACAGTGAAGTCCCCAAGGGAGAGGAAACAGCAGCCGAGCCTTTTCAAGGTCTCTGTGCCACGCGGGTCTCAAACTGGGGCGTTGTGCCGATTCTTCACGCCTTTCCTTCCAGGATTCATTCCTGAATCCAAAGTCCTTCCGAACAGACTGGCACGGCTCCTTTCTCGCTCGCAGCCCTGGGGATCCTGGGACTGACTGAAGTCTCCCAGTCAGGTAACACAGTAGAACAAAAGCCCTTTTGCTGAGCAAGTTATTTGCTTTTAGGACCGATTAGGTCCTAAAAAAATCTCTTAAAAATCAAGATAAAAACATTTTTTTAAAAATAACATTATAATGCAAATTTAGAAAAGAAGACCCACTTTCACAGCAGCACGATATATAAACAATGTCAGACATGGGTAAAATAAGAAGCTGTTTTTTTTTTAAAGTTAAATCACACAATTTTGTCATGTTTTATTACCTTATTTAATTCATACTTACTGCCAGCTTCTTATTTATTGTCCTGTCCCCCCCCCCCAGTATTAAGTTGGATCTAATCCAGTACTAGATCCATTTATTCTAAAGTGTAATTGATCTGTGAATCAGTCTTCCCAATTTTTCTTACAAAACCAAAACTTTGTGCATTAACATAAAACGAGACTATTCCTGCAACGTTTCCCATTTGGGGCGAGGCATCTGTCATCCTCCTTCCGGCCGTCCTATTCGGCCGTAAAACTGCTCTGCCGAGGGAACTGAGGCAAGAAGAAAGCTGGGGCCATAGAGTCCCCCCAGCGCTGCTCCCACCTACCTCGTTCCAGTTGGGCTCTGCGGTGTCTCTGTAAACCCTCGTTTTGGCCTTGTTCACAAAGTACCCAAAGGAGTCCACTTCTAGGGTGCAGTACAAGCCTGGGGGCGGGAGAGAAGGGAAGAAGCCGCAGCTCTGGTAAGAGCCCCTCGGGCTGCGGGGGTCTTCTGCTGCACCAGGCAGGAGGCAACGCCAGCCAGCCTTTGGGTCAGGTTAGCGCACCACTCCTCAGCCCGCCTCAGGCCACGCTCCACCTGCTCTGAACCCTGCGGCCCTTGCAGCTGAGCCTTAATGTGAAAGAGCCTTGTCTGAAAGACGGCCCTTCCCCACAGGGGCCGAGCTCTGGCTTTGCAAATCCTGAGGCACCTCTTTGGGGCACCGCCATCCAAGATGCCGTGAGGCTGGCTCAGCTCAATCAAGACTGGACCTCTACCCCCGACAAACTCAAGCCACATTAAGGCTAGGCACAAGACATGAACCCAGCAAGAGAAGAGATGCCCCCCCCGTGTGTGCAACATGTCCCCCCAGCCGGACCGCAG